TTTTTTGTTTCATTTTTATGCTTACAGAATAGAAAAAAACCATACAGCAGCGATCGAACCTCAGCCGTCACCTCGGTAGTCCGTTATCTTCGCTGCTGCGCTACGCCGCTTCGTTGAATATCTTTCTTACTAACTCGTACACTTTGTTGACTCTTTTCTTTAGACCGCTTTTTCTCGAAAACGAAGAGGTATTGCGTCGTATACTATTACCATGAGTTATTAGTAGTCAAGTACTATTAACTCCATAAGTTTCGTTCCAAACCGTTTCCCGGTCGATGCGTCCTCCCCTTGTTAGATATTTTTCTTGAAAACTGGATCATTCAAAATTATTCAAGTGTTCCGGTACTTTTTCTTTACCCTATATACAGGGTGTTTCATTTTAAACGATCCAGCTCAATATCTCGAAAACTAAACCCAGTAGACAAAAATGTTTCAGACAAAAGTTGTTTGGCTCGAAGGGGGATGTAAGTTGATGCCATTGATTTGACTCTGGATAGTCCTCTGAAGGTCACGTGAAAGTCACCTTCAATTTTTTTAAATAGAACCTCCTATTTTTCATTACTTATTCTTATAGGTCATCTCGAGAGCTTTCCAATATACTATAACTAAATTACTTTTCGTTAAATACTCGTTAAGTTGTAAGACAAGATCGGGATTAATTCGACCTAGTACGCCCACCTTCTTTCGTGGTGGATCCCCCTTCGATGCGTTGCAAAAACGTGTCCAAGCGCCCGGGGGCAGCCAAAACATAGCGTCAACCCCGGGGCTTATTTGTATGATTTGCACCGGATAAGGAGAGGCAACAGTAGAGGCCGGCATACATGGATAGCAGGTCTTAAAGGATAGCAACCTTTGACTTTGAGAGACCTCCAGCTTGTACCACTAGGTACAAGTATTGGGTGAGTGCAAAAGTTAGTGCGGAATTTGTGAGTAAAAGTCACACAGTGATTAGGCAAACAAAAATCTTTATTCAATCAATGATATATTCTCCATCGTTTTCTATAATCTTTTCCCAACGTTCTGGCAGCATACGGATGCCTCGATCATAAAAACTGCGTGGTTTAGATTCGAAGAACGAAGAGACGCCGTTTTTTAAGGCCTCCAAAGAGTCAAAGTTTTTTCCATTTAAATAATTTTGCAATGACCGGAACAAGTGATAGTCAGATGGTGCGATATCAGGAGAATACGGTGGATGCGTTAAGACATCCCATTTCAGGCTCTTCAGTTTGCGCAGCGTCTTTTTCGAAACGTGTGGTCTGGCGTTGTCGTGATGAAAGACGACTCCCTTGCGATTTGACAAAATCGGACGTTTCTCTTTTATTTCTCGATTCAGATTGGTTAATTGGCGACAGTACTTGTCCGAATCAATCGTTTCGCCAGCGGGGAGAAGCTCGAAATAGATTATGCCCTTGCAATCCCACCAAACAGAGAGCATCACCTTCATCGGGTGCAAACTGGCCTTTGGCATTGCGTCACCATGCTCACCTGATTGTTTCCATGTCCGTTTGCGCTGAACATTGTTGTAGAGGACCCATTTCTCATCGCCCGTCACTAGTAGATCCAAAAACGACTCGTTATTGAGCCGCCCGAGTAAAGAAACGGCTGCAGAAATTCGCTTGATTTTGTTCTTCTCGGTCAGCAAATGGGGCACTCATATATCGAGCTTCAAATCGAATCCCATCTTTTTTAAACGCCGAAAAACGGTTGATCGGTCAACGTTTAGTGCTGTAGCAACTTCTTCTGTTGAAATTCACGGATTATTGAGCACTAAAGTACGCAAAACATCGTCATCAATGTCAGAAGGTCGACCAGAGCGTGGCTCGTCTTCAAGGTTAAATTCTCCGCGCCGAAATTTAGCAAACCATTTTTCCACAGTTCGTTTAGCTAGTGCTTCATCCTGATAAACATCCTGAATGTTTTTTACGGCTGCGGCAACGTTTATTCCCTTCCGAAACTCGTAAAGCATAACATGCCGTAAATGCACCTTATCGATACTCATTTTTAAAGTGATATTTCTCGAAGCAGTTTGTATGAAAACAAATGATTTTTTTTTTATAACAGCTGAAGACATCACCTTTCCAACGTTATATAATATGTAGATGGAAGTATTAATGACAACACTTTACAACGCTTATAACTCCATCTATTGAAACTCCGCACGAACTTTTGCACTCACCCAATACAATGCCTCTCTCTCTAGTCGCCATGCGCTCGGGATAGCACTAGAGATGTCGCTTCTGAACGACATCTCTTAACGTTATCTAGGGAAAGGAGAATGTCGTGAGCGTGGAGCGTCAGGTAGCTCAGTGGTTCAGAGCAGTCGCCCGGCAAGCGAAAGACCCGGGTTCGATTCCCCCGGTCTAGCGACTACCGCGCTCTCGATATTTTTCTCTCTTCGGAACGAAAATAAGATTCAGGTCTCGAACGCACGGCGTCCCGTCGCCACCTAGTACGCCCTCCTTCTTTCATGGATCGATTAAGGCAAGATCGGGACTGATCCGACCGGCTAAGGCAAGATCGCGCGGAACTGATCCAGACGATCCGATCAGAGTCTAGTTTTCATGTGAAAGAATTATGATCTTAATAAGTGTTCAAATATGTGTCCATTATTATCCACACATAATTGAACTCGACGTTCAAATCTGTCAACTGTCGGTAAAACTATATATTTCTTGGAAATGCTACAGCAAGCAAGAGTTACGCTCCATCAAATTCTCTCTTGTGGGTGTTTTTGAATATACCACATTCTTCAAGTATCCCCATAAAAAGAAATCTGAACTTGACAGTCTGGAGATCTAAGACACCATGACACTGGTCCACCGTGTCTTATCTATCTACCTGGGAATGCGAGATCTAAATGATATCTATCTCTTCTACTCCGCGCAGGCGCATCGACCTGTTGAAAGAACATACGTAGTCCTGTGTCCAGATCGATATCTTCAAGCAATGCCGGCAATCTTTGTTGTAGAAAGTGTAAATAATTGTTACCATTAAAATTTTCGTCAAAGAAATAAGGCCCGAGAGGGTTTCCGTTTAATATACTACATCATATAATGAGGCTCCAGTGATGTTGATGATAAACTTCTCGATACCAATGTGGGTTTTCAATAGACCAATAGTGAGAATTATGCCGATTTAATTGTCCAGTGTTGTGAAAAGTTGCTTCATCATTAAATAAAACAAATCTGAAAAATATTTGAACATGATTTAACATTATTTGTGCCCACCTACGAAATTCTAGTCTTTGTTGAAAATCATTGAATGTTAATTCAATGTTATGTCAGAGTGATATAGTAAGAATAGTAAGGATGGAAGTTATGACTGGTCAAGATCCTGTGACTTGTTGATTTCGGAATACTTAATTCTCATTCAATTTGACTCGTTAACATGTGTGGATTAATAGTTATCATTCCCAATACGGCAAGTACTGTTGGATCATCCTTTTCTGGTACATTAATATAATGTCTTTGTCATTTTTGACGTTGACGTTGCTGTTGACGCAATATAAGCCTGGAAATCATACAATGATTTGGATGTCGTCTATGAGGAACTCGATTACGGTACAATATCGCTGCTTGTCGATAGATATTATGGCATTCTCCAAGTACCAGAATAATATCAACAATTTCGTTCGAAGTATAATCCAGCATTTTGCGTACATTAAGTTACAAGATAAAGTAAGAGCCGATAGATATTATTATTCTGGTTGATATTGGACGACTAAGGCAAATTTAAGCATTTATGGATCATCCTTTACATCAGTCATCATGAATCAGTCCCAGTTGGATGGACCAATTAAGGCAGAAAATATTGCAGTACAAAGTACTGCGTACTTTGTACGCAAAGTACTGAGTACAAAGGAATTGAGTAATCCTTTTGGAGGTGGTTATTCTGCTGATACGATGGGATATGAGTCTCAAATTCTCGGTAACTCGTGGGAGAAAAATTGCATAAAAAATAAATTTATAAAAAAACTATGATTACTACAAGGATGAGAATATGCAAAGGAGCGCACTGTCGGCGTGAGTGTGTTGAGTTAACCAATTGAGTTATGAGGGATGAGTGCTCTGGGAAAGAAAAACTTAAGTAACTCACCTTGGATATCATGATTAGTAATCAAATTATTCAAATTGCTCGTAATCCTAATTTTACGTAATCTCATATTTGGATTAGAAATCCAAATACATCATACATGGACATCATCCAAATGATGACGTCAGAGGAATAGCATCAGTTAAAAAGCCTAAAGACTGACTTAAGCAAGTATGAATGTCAGTTATGAAAAGACATCTCGAGTCTTCCAAACACAATTTTATCATCGAACATTGGTATTGCAGTAATTGAACATCTCAATTAGATAACGATGATAAGCGCATCAAGTAACCAGTAATAAAATTCAGAAATTGATAATTTCGAAACAAGTATGTTTAATCTGAAATCATTGCTATAGATCACTGATTTTGAATAGTCAAATTGAAATAAAAGTTGTAACTCAAACTTTTTCACAAGTCATATTCGAGTTAACAACTATAATTCAGTTCCACTATCCTACCTTTAAATTTTATATCTACATATTTTTAGGTTATAATTTTTAAGGTATGTATGTAGAAATGGTTATTCAAATGACAATCCACTGTATTGCAACTTTCAAGCCTTATAACTTAACACGTACTTAACGAAAAGTAACTTATAGTTATAGTGTTTTGGAAAGTTCTCGAGATGAGCTATAAGAATATGTAATGAAAAATAAGTTTCATTTAAAAAATTGGAGGTAACCACGTGACATTCAGAGGACTATCCAAAGTCAAATCAATGGCATCATCTTATGTCCTCATTCAAACCAAACAACTTTTGTCTGAAACATTTTTGTCTACTGGGTTTAGTTTTCGGGATATTGGGCTGGATCATTTAAAATGGGACACCCTGTACATATCTCTATATACTGATTGTATGTGTATGTATATATATATATATATGTGTGTATATTATTTCTTACGTAGGAGTTGTTTACACTGGAAGCAGCAGCTGAAATGGGCATTAATTTGGAGATTCTTTTAAATAAAAGAAGCACGCCGTTATATATATCTGATACATCTGATATTATAGAAAGTCAAATATCAAGCAAACAGGATGTCGCATCAGTTCATGAACATATTGGCACATCAACAAAAGAAGTGGTGAAAGATGTAAGTATAATTTGGTTTTTATATTTAATTTTATACAGAAATTCTTAGAAATCGTCCATTTTGTGTTTGGTGTTTACCTTCTAAATTGGTACAAATTATATTGAATTACAAGTATCTTTTTAAATACTTAAATTTTAAATCTTAAGTTAATAAATCTTGCACATTAAGTTTGGTATTAAATACAAAATCTGCTATGTACTTTGTAAAAATTATTTAATCAGAAACACTTGAGCTTTATTGAGAAATGCTAGTCTTTGGATGTGACATTACTTGAGAGAAAATTAAATTTCTATATTAGTCTTTTACAAAATTATATACATATAATTATAAAGGGTGTCCCATTTTAATGTCCCACCCAAATAACTTTTTATTATTCAAGTTTCAAGGAAAATGATCTGAATAAAAGTTGTAGGGATTTAAGTGAGCTATCTTATGATGACCTTGACTTTAACCTTGACCTCTGTTTTTAAGGTCATTTGAAGGTCAACTTGCGTTTTTTAAATGGGAACTTTTATCTTTTATTATACTGTTTTTTTCTACTAGTTAATTTGAACAACTTTTGTCTAAAGCATTTTTTTATTTGTCTAATATTTTTTTAGATATTTGAGGAAAACTTGATAACTTTTTCAATATTTAACTTACGATATCTCGCTAACTATTTGTCGGAAGAAAAAGTATTAGACTTTTAGAAAAGGTATTAGACTTTCTTGCTTTATTTAATTTAAAAAATATATTGTTACAATAGCGCCTTAACTTTTGTTAACTTATTGATTTTTAGAAATTTCAAAATCATCAAATTAACAAAAATTGCTATTGCGCTATTGCGCTATTGTAACAATATATTCTTGAGACTAAATAAAGTAAGAAAGTCTAGTACCACTTTTTCTTCCGACAAATAATTAGCGAGATATCGTAAGTTAAATATTAAAAAAGTTACCAAGTTCTTCTGAAATATCTAAAAAAATATTAGATAAATAAAAAAATGTTTAGGCAGAAATTGTTCAAATTAACTTGTAGAAAAAAACGGTGTAATATAAAATAAGGATTTCCATTTAAAAAACATAAGTTGACCTTCAAATGATCTTGAAAATAGAGGTTAAGGTCAAAGTCAAAGTCATATGGTAACTCACTTAAGTCCCTACAACTTTTAGTCAGATCATTTTCCTTGAAACTTCAATACTGACGAGTTATTTGGGATGGGATGTTAAAATGGGATATCCTGTATACCAGGTGTGTCGGTAATTCCTTTCCGGTTTTTTCGCTAAAGAAAACACGTTATTTACAATGGATAGTTAAAATATATTTATTCAAAGTATTGGCCATTTGATTCTATACATTTTGCCCATCTCTCAGGCAATTTATGGATGCCATTCCAAAAGAACTGTTTCTCCTTTGAGCTAAACCATTCATCGAGCCATTTTTTAACTTCTTCGAAATCGGCGAAGTACTGCTCTACAAGCGCATGCCCCATCGATGCGAAAAGGTGGTAGTCGGATGGAGCCAGGTCTGGAGAGTACGGCGGGTGCGATAAAACTTCCCATCCATCCAAGTGATTTCAACACTTCTTTGACTGGTTTTGCTGTATGAGACGGCACGTTGTCATGCTGCAAAATCACCTTATCATGTCTTTGAGCGTATTGTGGACGTTTTTCGATCAATGCACAGTTCAAATTGATCATTTGTTGTTGGTAGCGATCAGTATTAACTCCTGTTTCTCCAGGTTTCAACAGTTCATAATATACGACACCAACCTGGTCCCACCAGACACAGAGCATGGTCTTGCGACCAAAGCGATTTAGCCTTGCAGTCGATGGGCCGCCTTCGCCAGGTGATAACCATGATTTTTTTCGTTTGGGATTTTCGAAATAAATCCATTTTTCATCACTCGTTACTATTCGATGCAGAAATGACTTCCTTTCATACCTTTGAAGCAGCATTTCACTGACGATTTTTCGATTTTCCAATTGCCTATCATTCAATTTATGTGGCACCCATCTTCTCATCTTTTGGATCTTTCCCATCGCTTGTAATCGTTCACAAATTGCTACTCGGCTCACATTCAACTTTTCTGCCAATTGTTTTTGAGTTTGTGTTGGGTCTTCATCCAATAACTCCTGCAATTCCGCATCTTCAAACGCTTTCGGCCTACCAGGACGTTTTTTGTCTTGAACGTTGAAATCACCACATTTGAATTGTCGAAACCACGTTTCACATGTTCTTATGGTTGGAGCATGCTCACCGTAAGTCTCTACCAGCAAACGATGACTTTCAGCGGCTTTTTTCTTTTGATTAAACAAGAAAAGTAATGCGTGCCGCAAATGCACATTTTCAGGCACAAAACTCGACATTTTAAAAAATTATTAATCTATAACGCTGTTATTTTAGCGGAACGTAACTTGTGTAGTTTTGAGGTTAATGTCAGTAGAATAAAATGGCATATATATCAAATCATAACATTGCATACTTATGGCTAGTGACATCTGTTGCAAAAACCGGAAAGTAATTACCGACATACCTGGTACAGGGTGTTAGAAAAGTCTGAAAACGGTTAAATATCTCGAAAACCAAACCTTTCTGAAAAAAATGTTTCCAACCAAAGTTGTACGGTTTTAAAAGTTCTATTGAATGATCATATCCATTTGACCTTGAGTGGAGGGGTCAAGGCGAGGTCAAGGCCAATATGATTTTTTTAAAGGGAACACCCTATTTTTTATCACATTATTGAAGATGACAGCGTCGTTTCCAAAACATTACTTGATGATCGATTTTTGTTGAGAATTGTCTGAGTTATGAGCTTTAGAATTTACGGTGCCGCCAGCATTAATATTATCCAGGATGTACTGCATAGAGGTTGCATGGTCGGACTTTACACCCCTGCGTGTGTGTGCGCGCGCGCGTGTGTATATGTGTCAGCAGAGATAAGGACCCCGTGGTTCATCACTCCCGCAGTATTTAATGACTCCAAACCCTCTCTGTTGTGTGTGTGTGTGTGTTTTTAACTAATACTTTTCCAAACCGATGGATAGGAAGACGTGGAGGAATAAAGTGGCCTTCTAGATCACCAGATCTTTCTCCATTTGATTACTTTTTATGGGAGTATGTTAAAAACAATGTGTATGCAATGAAACCTGCTAACTTGGCAGATCTTAGGGAACGCATACAGCACCAACTAAATCTTATCTCACCAGAAATGAGATGAAACATTTTAAATGAATTTCATTTACGATTAGGTCATTGTGAAGTAGCAGATGGGAGACAATTTGAACATTTAATTCAATAAAAACCCGTCTATATACACACGCGCACGCACACACACACACACACACACGCACACGCACACGCACACACCACACACACCACACACACACACACACCAGAGAGGGTTTGGAGTCATTAAATACTGCGGGAGTGACGAACCGCGGGATCCTTATCTCTGCTGACATACACACTCAAAAAATATTACGCAAATAAGGAAATGTTTCAGACGAAAGTTATTTAAATTAATTGGTAGAAAAAGACAGTGTCATAAAAAATTGAGGTTTCCATTTATGAAAAGTAATGATCAGTGAATATCTTGAAAGTGGTGCAATTTGTAAACAAAATCGTATAGTTGCTTTATGTCCCCCTTGAAATTATACAACTTTGTCCGAAACATTTTTGCTGAAAATGTTTCGTTAAAGAATTATCGAAATGCGTTTAAAATGAGACAACCTGTATAAATGACATTTTGTTACAACGTATAGATGTAAATGTTTATAAACATTTCACAATTAGTAGAATATTCTAATGGAATAACATGTTGTAACAGAATCTATAACCAAAATGAGTAGAAATTTTGGTAAAACTTTAGGGGACTTATCTCAAGTAACCTCTTTGTTTTTGTTAAGGGGGGGGTCCTCATGGATACCCCACTCCCCTTGGGGGAGGGTGAGGTTATGTCGGACTCTTACCGGCTAAAATTCCCCCGGGGTGCCTGCCAGGCGGGCCGGAGTGGGGGGAGTCGAGGGAACTGCGCCGGCACTCCCTCGCCGACACCTCGGCTGCCGCGACCCTCCCCCTTTTCAGGGGGAGGGCGCGACGCCCGGACTGGTTACCCGGTCGGGTTGGCCTTCTGGTCCTGTTGGAGGAGAGGGGGAACACCCACCTTCTCTCCTAGCCCTCCACTGCTCGTTAGTCAAAGGGGGCGGGGAGTGGGGTCCGTCCCCAACCGAGACACCCTTCCCCTCTTCCCTACCATCTCAGATAACCTTACCCGTTACATATATTATTAAGGACACTCTTTTGAGTAATATTCAAAAGGTTTTAGCCGTCGATTATTATTTATTAAAAAGTTATAAATAAGAATTATAAATGGGATTATATAGCTAGAGCCTATTTTCTTTAGACACAATGTACATTAATCCTTTGAAGCACAGCGGGACTCTGGAGTCCCACCTTTTTTGTTTCATTTTATTACGTTTTTCAGATATAAAGAACTCGATTTTTTTGCTATTTTTTGTGTTTTCATTTGAGTATTATGTTATTAAGTATGTTGTAATGTGTAATTCTCATAAATTGTTTATGAGATTGTTTATATAAATAGTTAAATGCAAAAAACAATGTTTTTCGCATAAAAAATCCGTGTCAGAGAAAACTATTATAGCTATATGGGTGATAATTTATATCCTGTGATTTTCGAAGTTGCCGTTTGTGAATCCAGGGTCAGAATTTCCAAATTCAAAATGGCAGATCCAATATGGTAGACAGAAATGTTAAAAATGTTTTGATTTCGCCAGAAATAGATACATGGAGGTTTTTTGGGTCCCGATTACAAATTTGTTGTCAGATTTGCGAAATTCAAAATGGCGAATACAATATGGTGGACAAAAATATTAAAAGTCCTTCGATTTCGACAGAAATAAGTATATGGAAATTTTTTGGGTCACTGATTACGAATTTGTTATCAGATTTCCAAAATTAAAATCCATAATATATCAAAGTTAGCCATTTGAAGTTGCCAT